AGGGCCTTTTGTAAAATGTTAGGCCCGCCTTCACTTAGGGCGGGCACTGTTGCAAAGAGGGCCCCGTAGGCCTACCGAGGACACAGATCCTCGCAAAATGAAGACAACAAAGGTACACCCCTCTGTCTTTAAAAAAAAAAAAAAAAAAAAAAAAAAAAAAAAAAAAAAAAAAAAAAAAAAAAAAAAACGAAAACAGGGCCTTATGGTCCTGGCTCCTTTCCATTCTGGGGAGCAAACCACTCCTCTGTCTTGGTTTTTGAATTTGGATGATTTCTCAATTTATGTGTGTCATCCTTGTGCAGGGGCTATGCTAATCTTCTCTGTTCGCCCTTTCCACACACGGATCAACACAATTGCCTTGAATCATGGCAGAGGGAAAAGCCAGAGAAAGTAGACAGTCGGCTGAAACTTACTTTGATAAGTTTGCTCCTCAACTAGACACTGCCAGGGAATGAAGATGATTACCAGATTTGCGGTTGGCAAAGATGATCACAGTGTGTGTGTGCCTCTCTCTCTCTCTCTCTCTCTCTCTCTCTCTCTCTCTCTCTCTCTCTCTCTCTCTCTGCCCTAAGTGTAGTGGTTGGAAAATTGTAGTTCTCATTTTGGTTTTGTAAGTTTTGTTTGTTTCATGTTGGTTGGTTGTTTTTCGTCGTCATGTTTGGTTCCGTGCGCCTTTTGAGTTTCCGTTTCCTTGTCGGACCTCTTTGTTTGATTTTCTTTTCCCTTGTCACCTTCTGTATGTTCTTTGAACTTTGAAGCCTTGAAGAGATCAGACCTCATTCCAGAAAGTGCTTGCCGATTCTTGCATTAAAAGCTACGAGTGATTTTTTTGGCTGTTTGTCGGTCTTCCCTGCAGTCGAAAGTATAATGGGCATGTGAAGAGCTTATTGGCCTCTACAGTGAGACAAACACACTTTTGGTGGGTGAATGCGTTTACAGGGTAACTCCATATCCTCGTATTCTCTCCATCAGCTTGCACAACTCTTAGCACCTCCTGTCAACCGGAATGGAGAGAGAGAGAGAGAGAGAGAGAGAGAGAGAGAGAGAGAGAGAGTCCTTGGGTGGAAGGAGTGGAGGGAGGAGAGGATATGTGGCATTGGAAAGGGCAGTCTACGCTGGAGCAAGTTTCCAAGTAGAGCGTGTGATTATGTTGACCCGCCTGGGCATTGCAAAGTATTCTCACACTCAACTGATTGGAGGCAAGCTGGGGGTTCTCGACCAGTTATCCATGTGCATGTGTGTGTGTGTGAAAGAGAGGGTAAGGGGGGGAAAGAGAAGGAGAGGAAAGGATGAGCTGTCGGTAGGAGTTTGTATGAGATCGTGTGTCTGTGTTACTTTCAACAAAGACCTTTTGCAATTCCAACTCACTTTACATGCCTACACTGCCCTACAGTTGATTGGAAGCAATCGTTTCTCAATTGGAAGCTGTGCTGAAAAATCGAAATGGAACATACACAGATGAGTAGTTTGTAAGTTCACATAGCAACGAAAGTTGTATGTCCACAACAGGGCCTCCCAGCTTCTGTTACATACTCAAATGAGTATGGGCAGAACCAAGAATCAACCAATATAGGATGAGTTTTTATGCAGTGGAAGTCTTATAACGAACTGACTCACATAGACTGACCTACATGGCATCACTCCACACACATACAATCATGAGATGGTGGGGTCTGGGTCATGCATAGAAGATACCCAGATCCCGTACACACATGCACAGATGAAAGGTGGGA